CTGCAAACACACACACACGCTCACTCGGAGGCAGAAGCGAGGCAGTCCCAAGCCTCCTCTGATGCACACTCTCTAACTGCAGGGACAAAAGAGCTACAAAGAAGCAGCCTCATTGCCACCTACAGTTAGAAATTTGAATTTCCTGCCTTTTTCCCCTGCCTTTTTCTGTTCTTAAGTGGAAGCTCCGGTCACAAGTAGAAGCAAAATTTTGCGGCTGGAGCTGGTCGTAACTCAAAATGGTCATAAGTAGGGACGTTCGAAAAGTTGAGGCACCACTGTATTATGTAGATCTTGCTTTTCGGATGGTCCTTTTGTGTAGGGGGCCCCGCCTGGAAGTGCTGCTCCTTACAAATGGACATATTCACCAGCCTCAGTGTGGCAAGTAAATATGGAAGCCAGAGTTTGGATTCATCTAAATACTGTATTGAGTGAAATTAAAAAATATTTTTGGCACAGAGCAGATGCAGTGTTTGAGACCTATGCCTATCTGACTAACAGAGACTGAGAGGCAAAGGCAGAAGAGAAAATGAAGCCAACTTCAGAATGGTGGTCTGTAAGTCAAGGAAGCAACAGAACCACCAACCAGGAAACTCTTAGCCAGCTGTTTCTACCTTGGTTGCCGCCTACTGACATACCGTCATTTCTGCAAGGAAAGTAGTTGCACTTCCAACATGTTGCCTACCGATTGCCTTAATGGGGCAGTCTGGCATGTTACTTATCAATCCTCCTCCTCATCTTAGAACCACAATGCTGGAAGGGACCCAATGGATCATCAAGTCCATCCCCCTGTCAAGGAGGCAGAGTGGGGAATCAAACTCCCAACCTCTGGCTCTACAACCAGATACATAAACCACTGCGCTATCCAGCACTCATGATAACACTTCTTGGCTTCTATGCCACCACTCATATTATCCAATTCAGCAGCCTGGGCATAAGAAACAGTCTTGTGTTATTATCAACAGTTAATCAATAATAAAGACTTTGTACTGACATTATTGCATTGCAAATACTACTTTGTTTGGTTATTGAAGATCCAGTTGAAAAATGGTTAGTTTAAAAACATTCACTCTTTGACTTTTATCCATATGGGATTATATGTTCACTATTGTAAACTGCTTTGGAATGGTACGCTGCTCTTCACTGTGCCTCCTTGACACGGGCTGAACTCCGTGATGCATAGAGTCCATTCCATCATGACAATTCTAAGATCATTATTCTAAGATAGATCCAGGTGGGCAAATTTCAAGGATCAGGACACTGCATTTTGACTCCACTAGCCCAACACATTGCTCTGGTTCCTACCACCACTGCCAAATGTCAGCAACTATCACTGAGGTTGCCATCTCTGTAGTAGCTACAGAGTTGGCAGAGAAGATCTGTGAAGCAGCTGGGATGCCAACTGGCATCAACGGTAAAATATTTTAGCTCCTACATGAAAAGCAACAGACTCTGATTCACTTCGAACTGTCAGGTAGCCATGAATATGAAACCAGTCTGAAAGATCTGCATCAACTAGAAAAGAAATGGCAAAAGACAAAAGTGGCAGGTCACACTATGCTGTAAATGACTGCTGGTTCTTGAGTTTAAAAAATTGCTATGTTATGTGAACTTTGTAAGAGCCATAGTGGATGTGGGAGGTCCCACATCAGAATAATTTCGGGCCCATCATTTAGGAAGGCAAAATACCTTGGGAAGCTAGTTTAGAAGAATCTGTGAAACAAGTGGCTGGGAGGATGATTGACAGAGAAAGGCATTCTTGACCACCAGTAACTGCTTTGAGCTTAGTATTTAATGTTCTTTTATTAAATGTGGTTTGTGTGATCTATTTGATATTTAGGTTAACCACCTTGTGAGTCTGCATCACAAGTTTAAGGAAATTTAAAAAGTTTAAGGAAATTTAAGAAAATTTAATTGAAAAATGTGGGTGTTCTTGGAGGAAATGGAGCCTAGATCCATTTTATTTGGGTTCAGGCCATGCCATGGAACTGAATTGGCATTGGTTGTCCTGCAAGATCATCTTCAGAGAGAAGCAAACAGAGGGAATGCAACCCTTCTGGTACCCCTGGATCTTTCTATGGCCTTTGCTAGTACTGTATTACCATAGTATCCTTCTGAGATCCTCCATTGAGTTTAGGATTTGGGGGCTCTGTTCTTTGGTCCTCAAGAAATGATTGGAATCACCAATCTCAGATGACACAGTTTGGGGAGGTGATGCCCACATCTTGGAACCACTGTGCTCAGGGAACTGATCTTTCAGCGGGGAATATAACCCCTCTAACCAGTCCAACGATCCTCTTAACAATAGGACCTCTTTCTTTTCTGGATTCAGAAATTTCAATTTATTGACCTTCATCCAGTCCATTATTGACCCTAGGCAGCGCTCAAAGACTTGTACTGCATCACCTGCAGATGAGGAAAAGGAGAAATACAAGTGTGTAATCTGCATATTGATGATAACGAACATCATCTCCATATGACATCCCAGTGCCTTCATGCTGATATTGAAAAACATTGGGGAAATGACTGTTCTGCAGCTTGGGTGTACTCTTGGACCCTGCTCTTTTATGTATGTATTTAATATATTTTTAACCCCACTTTTCTCCTTAAAAAGGACCCAAGGCAGCTTTCTATGGAGGCACAAATTTCTGTTGTTGCCAAGAGTGTCTTCCATTAACTTTGGTTTATTGCCCAAATGTGCCCTTACGTGGATAGGAAATGCCAAATAGTAGTGGTTCATGCATTGGTAATCTCTAAAATAGACTACCGTAACACCCTCTACATAGGGCTGCCCTTGAAAACAGTACTGAAACTTCAACAGGTCCAAAATGCAGCTGCCAAACTGATCAGAGATACTAGCAAATATGGACACATCCTCAGTCTTGGCACACCCTTATTAACTCCCTGTTAGTTTCCATGCACAATTCAAGGTCCTGGTCATGATCTGTAAAGCCATTAACCGTTTAGGATCTCAATACTTGTTGTAACATCTCTATCACAAAACAGCTACTTGTCTTGCCTGCTCCTTGCAGTCTGCAATGTTTAATATTTTGACACTTAAGGAGACCAGAAGAGCTTACACTAGGAACCACACTTTCTTGGTGATGGACCCTTCCTTCTAGAACATGCTTCCAACAGAGGTTAATCAGGCCTCATCCCTCTATTTTTAGGAAATTAGTACAAACAGGATTATTTAAAGCTGCCTTTTATTGGTACTTTTAACCATTGCTAAGAAGTCCAAGTTTGTTTTTAATTCCTTTAATTCTTTTCAAATACACGTTTTAAGCTAGTGACAGGGTTTTATTTATTTTAAGGTATTTATTGTATATTGGATTTTGTATTATTGATTTTAACATGATTTGACATTAAAATATGTTGTGAACCGCTCAGAGGGTTTGCGCTAATGGGGGGGGGGGGGAGAGAATACAACTTGAAATAAATCAGTATGTCCAGTAGAGGGCAGCAGTACACATCAGCTTTAGGCTGACAGACCTCTGTAAGGATCCCATTAATTTTCTTCCCCATGTATTTTGTGTGGGATGATTAAATGTATACAATATAAAGGCATCTGTAAAAATAGGAATAGGTTACTAACTGACTGTAGAGACAAAACAGATAATATTTCAGGCACTACTGAAAATGTGAGTCGCTCTATGTTTTATAAAGCAACATGTAATCCTTCCAGAGGTCAGGAGTTCTGCAAAACCCAATACATTTTGCAAATGTATTCTCAAACCACAGAAAGTGGTAGAAACCCTATTCATGCAGCAGGATAACCTAGAGAAGGTACATAACGTATTCAATTAGCTGTGCCATATATGGTGTGTCTTTGTGCATGAAAGATGTTCCCCACAGCTTTTGTAGATGTCGCTGAGCACCCCCCCCAAATTAAAAAAATAATAAACCCACCTACCCTCATGCTTTTCTCCTTCTTTGAGTTTTGGCATGCTGCATAGACTGTCAGCAGTACGTGAGCCCAGATATGTCAACAGCAGAAAAACAGGTTGCACTCTTAAACCAGAAAGCAATGGTTTTGCCTAAATAGAATTGACGGCATCTGTTCACTTACATTCACTCAAATCTCACTAGTTGGTGGCTGATAACTGTTTGATCACTCATGACTGCTCTGAACCTTGTTCAGAGGAAGCCACTTGTAGCTAATACACCATTAATTTAAACCTGAGAAAAAGGTTTATTGCCACCATTTACCATCTGCCTACTTATCACACCCCAAATATTTGCTAGGAAATGTTCTCCAGACATACTGTTTGATCCTGGGGAAAGGACAAACTGTGCAGCTGCCTGTGTATGTATGGAACAAGACATATTGCAGCTCTCAAGTCTCTCCATTGCCACCAGTTAAACCCCAGAACCCCTTACGAAGCCCATTATGTCCAATGTGAGGAAACAAATTTACTTTTTCGTGGCTATGTAAGGAAAATCTGAACTATTGTTTATGCAAAATCTATGATTCTTGCTACTTGCTTGTAAATCTTATTAGCATTGTCTAGCTTAGAGTCTAAACTGCTTTATTTCTTCTGCGACTGGACTTCCCCCCCCATCTAATTTCTTGATTTTACATTATGTTTTTACTTTTGAATTACTTCCAAGTTCGCTGAATAACTTTTGGCTAAATCAATTAACACTATACCCTTATACAAAGGGTAAACAAACAGAGAACAACTTAAGTTTCACCTTGCAGTCATTAAAGACGAAAGCAGGTTTCTCATCCAACTCTCTGGTTTGAAATTCATCTAAAGATGCTTCAATGGCCCCAGTTCAGTATTTAGAGAAGAAATGAAATAGATGCTAAAGGTAAGGGAGCCACAGGGTAGCTGTGGAATGACAGCAGCCCTCACTACATCTATATTTTACTCCTGTACGTTACTGGGAAACCATACCACTTTGCAAGAGGAGGTTAATGCAAAAAGGAACTAAGCATCTTTGCAGTTTTCATGCAGGGTGCAGCACACTACAGACTCTGAAGGAAGCATGTAAAGGAGTCAGGAAAAAGGCAGTTTATTAGTGCAGTCAACACAATTTAACAGCAAAACACAAAATGCAATCAGCAACTTGCATACTGGCAGGAGACATGACAAATTCTATGGTATACTTCAGAGCACAAGGAAGACTGGACAGCAAGACACTGAAGGGGAAAACAAGGAATGAGGAGAAAAGAGTTGAGAGATGCAGTTAGCTCAAGATGCAGTTATTAGGTTGGATTTAGCAGCTTCTTCAAATTCCTGAGCAACAGGGACTCCGTTAGAAACACTTCCAAACAAGCAATCCCCTTTCATAACAATACGAGCACAACCCATTCCATCCCTAAAACTGATCCGACTTTTGAAGCACATTCCAGGTGTTTTGAAAACATGACTTACAAAACAGAAGTACTAAGAGATGATGGTAAAGTTATATTTAAGAAGTAGCTCGCAACTGTTGCAGGTGGAAAAGCTGGAACCCCCTTAGGAATAGCATCAGAGAGACTTGGTTTCTAAAGCAAAGTTCTACACAGGGGATGGGCATGGGGCAGAGAAGCCTAAAGCAGTGTGCCACTTAAGAATAAAACCGAAGGAAGACAAGGGACTGAGGACAGAGCAGAACTGAAGGACATTCCTAAAACCTACAGGACAGACTTACACAAAAGTAAAGGCCACCAAACTGAATGACTGCTGCAGATTTAAGAGCCTCCAAAGCACAAGCGTTTCTTACACAATGGAACTTGAAAGAGCATCTGCCTGGTGAATATTCAGGAGCATAAGTGAAGCCAAGCTGTGTTGTTCATGCAAAATTTATTCATGGGAATGATGGAAATCCTGTGAGAGAGATCAGCACTGCTTTCATTAGGTGACTAATCATCCTATGTCGTCCTACAATGGGCCAAGTTCCTTCCTATTCAGCAAAAAGACTGGGCTGCCGGCTGCCCATTGCTGTGAAAACCACCATTCCCATAAATGTGGATTATTGGTTACAGGACCAGCATGTAGGAGTAGGCTAATTACTATGATACGTGATTGGAGAAATCTCTCCAATTATGCCCTGGCATTCGTTTGAAGTGTGGCAGCAGGTAGCATGCCTCAGGTGGCCACCTTTCCTGCTGCTAAGTTTCCTGGAGCTTTGTTTGTCCCAGGGATTGTTGAAGAGGCAGCTGTCTAAGAAGTGGCACAAACTCCTCCCTAGAGACAAGTTTGCTGTGCTTAAATACGGTGACAGCTCTCCTACATCTGGGTACTAACAGGAATTATTTTAGCCACAAGTAGTCTAAGAAAGGGAATTAAACCTTCTTTAAAAGAGAGTCACGCCAATGAAAGCTGTTCAGAATGGAATGTACAGTCAATGTTCTGGTCAGAGCAAGTCCAACTGTTCCATTTTATTGATGCACTTACTTCTTGCCTCACCAACATCAGCACAAACCAACTCCAGCTTAAAGTAAGAATATTTAACACATCACAAATGAAGAAGGTTGTTGTAAAAAAAGAGACTCCAAATAAATTAAAACTGACAAGTCAACTAAACCTGGACTTCAAGACATTCCTGACCACTGTATTTTGAAAATAAAATAAGGGAAACATACAAAGGCAGATGTAGTACAAAAATACTGAACACAATCATCAAAATGTAAAAAAAAAAATACACAGATTTTCAAAACAGCCCACAGAGAATGACAAAGACAGTTCATCCAGGTTACTGTTCTTTTTTCCCCCAATTAATTTTTTTCCAAATATCATGAAGCTGAGATACCCTCAAATGGCACACACAATTCAGAGAAGCCTGTATTGGATCAGACTGAGCAAAGTGCCTACTTGAAGGCTTGCATCTTCCGAGAAAAGACTGGTCAGGAAAGCACCTGACATGAGTGGCGGCACTTAAATAACACTAACACCTGACCTCTAGGAAAATTCCACTTCACTTTGCACAAGTGGCAGCGACAGGACACTGTCAAAGAGCGCAACCTCCATTGCAAAATCAGGCCCCCATCTGGAAAAAGAAGGTCTGCCACCAGGGTAATATAAGGCCACACATCCCAAATAAGTTGAAGATTCTCCTCCTGACAAGCCAGCTTTTTGACTCCACAACATCTGCTACCCCAACATGTCACTACTGGTATATATTATTTGGCATTCCTTGCACTGCCAATTTGGCATTTTGCCTTCTAGTGTGTGCACTCTTTCACGTTCCTCCTCCCCACTGCTCTTTGCACAAAGACTGCAAAATTGTGCCTTCAAGTTTCGAGTCAGATGCTAAGGGCCACAACGGTAAAGCGTGCACCTTGTACAAAGAAGCCAAAGGATAAGAGAAACTGGACAAGGAGGGGTGTGGGGAGGTCTTCAGAACAAACTTGCAGCTCTGGAGTTTTCAGTTAGGAATCACAAGCCTGTTGTACTCCTGGGATTGGAACCAAGCTATCTAAACCAATGCCGTTGCGACAGGAGATCAGACTCCTTGTGACGGAGGTCCATTGCTCTTTCTGGAGCACAGAGGAACTTCTTGTGCTTTTATGTAGACACTTGGAAACCTGTGTCAACACCAGATCAGGGTAAATTATTAGGACTGGAAAGGAATGCAGCATGGCATTTTGCATAAGTTGCTGGGCACCTGCCCAATATAATTAGGAAGTGGTGTTTTAATCAATATAAAGAGAAGTAATGCCCTTGCACGGCACAGTGGGGGGAAGGATCAGTGGGCTGGGACACAGTCTATTTTCCTTTGAAGCACATTGTTCTATCATCTCTGTTAAGTCTTTAGATTTCCTCCACGCCATGTGCAAATATCATCACCAAGCCTGGCTCTAGCACCATCTCCTCGCCCATGTGCTGATTTTCACAGGCCATCACCACCACAGCCTGCTTGCCTGGGATACGTTTGGCCACATAGTTTTCGTAATAGCGCCGGTTCATCTGTCGGGTTTCTAGGGTGGCCAGGCCCTGTGGCCAGTTCCGTTCGTGAGCATTTTCAATCAGCTCATTGATGATGGACGTGGGACAGCCACTCTCCACCAATGAACGCTTGATCACAGCTTGAAGGACAGCATCTGGTGTAGAGATCATACCACCCCACCGTGTCACTCGGGCAGGCTGCAGAGAGTTCAACCACCTAGAAGCAAATTAATAAACAATGTGAGATGAAAACAAAAATACAAGAAAATGAAGATTTCACCAAGAAGCCATGTCATCTACTGGCATTGTAACATAAATCTGGAGGTGAGGAAGCCCACATTATATTACTGTTCTAACCTCTTTGGGCTACCTGTCCACCAAACCACACTACAGTATCCTGTTTCCCCGAAAATAAAACCTACCCTAAAAATAAGCAATAGTATGATTTTTCAGGATGTTCGCAATATAAGCCCTACCCCAAAAATGAGCCCCAGTTAAGTGAAACCCTGCCCTCCACCATTGTGCAGCAACCAGAAGATGACATGACTGTATTTGAATAGATGTAGATGGTTGTACATGAAAAAAATAAAACATCCCCTGAAAATAAGCGCTAATGTGTTTTTTGGAGCAAACTCTCTTCTGTGATGGTACATTGTACTGAAAGATCATGTGCAGGCGAACAGCCTTTTAAGCAGCTCAAACTTTTTAAAGGAACCTCAGATAAGCTCCAGAAACCTGCAGGGTTCTCCAGAACGTATTTTGAAAGCTCTAGGTTTTGAAACTTAATTTCATGATTCTGACCTAGTTTAGTTTTAATCTCTGCCACCAATCCATGGTTTTCAAAAAAGACAACTCAAGGTTTCATTACTGCAATGCACCTGGCAATGAAAATTTTTTTTGTAAGCTGCAGCCACTTCAGACTATTTGTAGCTCATCTCCAGCTCAGCAAGGTCAAAAGAGAGGTACATTACACTAGTGGTTTAGCAATTGCACTTGCCATTGAAACTAAAAGGTCAATCTGAAGAATTTATGAAATCTACCCTTTCAAAAGTCTAACAGTTATGTCAAAATAAACTGGATTTATATGTATTCAACTCTCACTTTCCTTAATG